ACAAGTAGTTGGCAATCAGTTGCGACTAATTTGAACTTTAACTATTTGTTGACATTTTTGACATTTTTTTTAACTTGTTTCAAATAAATCTATACTCTATCTTTTTCCCCCTGGACTCTTTTTAAAATGAGTATAGTTTAGCTGTTATGACGGCCTGTCACTACCGCACCCCTGGCACAACTGTACCCAGTCTCCTCTACATTCATTACTTTTTGAAATTATAATTTTATTTTAGGTGTTATTTTAATAATTATGTTCGACTTGGTAACTAATAACTAAAGAAAGGTTGATTCCAAACTGAATTATATATAAATTCTAAGCCAATAGGTGGTACGACTAAGGCGAGTCGGCGCCTTAATCGTACCGTAAGCACATTATTGAAAAACCGATTTTAATAAGTATGAAAATTATAATACAATAATTTATCATTCAAATCATTATTATTGACTCTGTTGATTATACAATCTAGAGTTCGGCACCATGCGTGAAATATTTTTCCGCGTACTAAATATTTTAACCAAACAAATGATTTTGATTATTGCCACATTTAAGAATCGTGATTTATCTATTATGATCGTTCGGGAGTTATGAACTACTTTCTTGTGTCAATCGGTTGGTTGAGTTTACTTATCCAATATTTTTTTATAAAATTGAAAGTTCGAGCAATTTGACTCAAAGCACTCTCACAAGTCACAATTATATGGAAATCTTTCTCATAGGACTTGATCATATATACAATAAATCAATCAAATAATTAATCTCATTGAAATATTACTTACAAATCAGTATTTGCAATGTGTAAAAAGATATATATATATATATATATATATATATATATATATTGACTTCAACAAACTTTGAATTATTTTTTTTATGAACTTATAGATTGTGAATTATATGAATATTTTATTTTACGATGTACTTATGCATTATTAGATACGGTTGTAAACAATTGGCGGCAAAGATTCATATAAATCTCGGAATTGGCGAGTGGAAAGGGTTAACACGAAGAGAATCTTGCACTTGCCAGTTCAACTCTATTTGACGTTCACAAAAAATAATTCAAAGTTGTAGTAAACAACAAATTGGCATAGCAAACCGAAGACGTCGAAAAGTAAATAAAATGTTTGAGAAATGTAAATGCAATATTTTTCCTTGTATATTTGTACAAAAATTAATTCAGATAAATTGATATTTAATAGACCATTTTCATTGTGCCACTTATCTGTTAATTTGAATGAAATACTTAGATATTAAATAAGTATTCATCTCATAAGTATCATTATCATGTTTAGAAATATATTATAATGTATAATTTTTCTTCTGAAGAATTCCATGGCGGTGTATCAGTCATATTGTTCTCTATGGGAAACGACGTTCAACCTCGTCAAATTATGATTCCTTGATTTAAAGCAATGGTTCTGAAGTTTTTATTGACTTAGCTTCTTATTTGTCAAGGTTTCATTTAACTTGATCAACAATTCAGCGATAAATAACTATTATTGAGGATTATTAATCATTATTTATATGAATATAAAGCAATGCACTGTTGTCTGAAGCAATATTAATACATGTAATGAATAATCAGAACTATTTAGTTCGAATTAGGATGACCAGAGTGCTGCTTCTGACGGTACGTTTTAAAATATAGAAATTAGTTTTTAAATAAAAAGTTGTTGCTGTTGTGCACAGTAAAGGTAATTATTTAATTCAACATATAAAAACTTTAACATGCCCTGATAAAACAATAACAAATCTATAACCTACGTTTCAAATTATCTGATGAAATACGATAGATGATGAAATACAAACTCACTCAGAAATGTACAAAAGTCGCCTCGAAGATTACCCAAACTCACCGGCCAAAACACTAGGCGAACACTACATTTCACATTACATTCCTACATTAATACCTGTCAATCACAAAACCTCTGACAATGGTTAGAAGAATTTGTAATTTGAAAGGCATTTTCGAATCCTACAATGTTACTTGTTGGTCTCTTAGAATAGATATAACAATTATTATACAATGAAAAAATACTGTTATTGTCAGTGTTTTTACGTTTATAGAAACCGCCTAATTATGCAATTATCTATACATTATATATATATATATATATATATATATATATATATATATATAGATATCTAGATATTAATTTTTAGGCAATGGATTTTGTTCGCATCAACAAATTACCTACGAAATTATCAAGTAACAACCCACTAGGCGAACAGGAACTTTAACACAAGATGCACTGAAACTATTTATTTTTAAAGCATATTAGTAATTTGTTGTACCTAATAACATTTTTTATAAATATGAGTTATGTCCATATATAAATTCATGTTCATAAACTTACTTTTTTGTAAATATTTATGTGCGGAAATTATTGAATTACAAGACCTTGCATACTTTTTAATGGCTAATAATTGTAAATTTCCAACCTAATAAATAGACAATAAACAGAACTCACTTTTTGTATAAAGTAAGTACATCCGTAAGTAATACATTATGCAATGTACATTGATAATGGATAGGGCATTTAAAGTGGAAGCATTGGCCCTGGAACCATTTGGTTCGCATACAGAGGTGGCCATTTATGCGATATCCAATTCAAAAATAGCTGGTACATATTTTCATGAACCAAAATAAACAATAATCGAAATAAAAATACATAATAATATTTTGATCAGAAATAAATGCTTCCACTTCAAATAGCTTACCATTATATCATTATACATTTTATTACTATGATCATTTTTTTTAAGATTTTTTAATGTTGTGCTGATATCTACAAAAGCAAAGATATCTGTGAAAAGTGTTATTTCTAACATTCCGTGGGGTAAGTTATAGTCTTCGCAAAATAATCGAAAATGAATTTTTTTATATATCTACGTTTCTGAAGTTTCAGAAGTTTCAGAACATTTTGGCATTCCTTAGAAAAAAATGGATGCATGTGTACGAGCGGATACAAATTTTTATCGACGACTTCGCGAACACGGATTAACATATTTGAATAATTCAAAAAACATTTTATTTGTATTGACGAAATGAAGAAACAGGTCAATTTTTGTGATGGCAAGTCCAGCCGTTTCGGTGATCCAATAAAAGAAAAGTTAAAAAAATGGCATTTGGTCAAAAATGATCCATTAGACATATGCACATCAAATTAACAGATATTGTATTTTGTATATAGTGATTTTAATAATAAGTACCGATTTTGTTCACATCGATATCAGTGTTTATCCGTAAGACAGCGACGCGGCGCTTGGGCGCTTGCTACGCAGCTTAAAAAAATGTTTAAAATTTTCAAAACAATTTTGGAATATGGAAAAATCTATTTTTTTTATTCAAATAATAAGTCCAATTTAAAAAAAAAAATCGAAATTTTCAAAAATCTCATTTTAACAAAGTTTTTAAAAAATTTTAAAGCTTTTTTAAAAATTTTGATTTTCGGTACGGGAAGTTTCAACAATTTGTTTTAGTATTATGTAGTTACTAGTATATCCTTTTTTGACTGGAAATTAGTTTAGATAGATGGAATTTTTTATAACCCGCGCGCCACGGGTTCGGAGCCGCCGTAATAAACAGATAGAGTTCGCGTGATCGGCCTCGCTGCATAATATTATTGTATTGTTAGTGGTTATCTAGCTAGGTGTAGGCAAAGCCGATGCTCAGGCTGGTTATTTAGCCGCGGTTTGCAAAACTTGCACTAGCAAATGACCAGGCACAGAGACTGTGTTAAATAACGTTAAACGTCTGCGGTTCGCATAACATTTACAAATTTTAATGATTAACGATGCTATTGATCTTATTCAATAAGCATTTGTAATAATGGTGGTGTGTGACAAGTGGGTGGCACTCAAAGTGTTTGAAGTTGTAAGTGAATTATTGTACAAATTAAGTGAACCGAGTAATTTTGAATGTGAACATTTTTTTATAATTTCATGTTAAATTTATCGAATTTGTGATTCGACTAGTTGAATAATTGCAGTAACTAGTTTTGGATTCCACTTATTAATTTATTTTAAAAACTTGTAAACAATCAACAAATTTCATATTAAATATTTTTCAATTGATTAAAGTTAAACTCCGCAACTCTACCAATACTAAAATTATTATTTGTTTGTATAATATTCTTTGAGATATTTTAGTATCTTTAACAAATTCCTAAATTAATATAATCAATTCTTAATGCGTACAATGATAGAGTAATGATAAAGGTACTAGTTACAATTTTCATAAGCTTTTCAAACGATCAAATTAATCACAACCGTAAAACTTTCGCTACATTATTCAAATCGACATTTTAAAATTGAATTTTCAAAATAAAAACATTAAAAACATATCTATATATACATAGTTCCAAATCTTAAACGATGTGCACATTTTTTTCACAAATAAGACCCAAAATTTGATAATATACATAAGTCAAATATTACGTTAAGGGGGTATTCTAGTGTAGAGGCATGAATTTTAAGTCATTTTTAAATCACCGTAAAAAGCAGGCAATCATTTTTTTATAATTGATTTATCAACGTTATAGTACAAAAAAAATATAATAAAAAAGTTAATTATTTCAAAAATTAGCAGTGATTAAAGTGAGGGGTTTCAAAAAGTCGACACGTGACCATGGCCACGATTGCAACCCTCCTCCTAGTAATCCGAAATGAAAAAAAAGATTATTAATCTAGAATGATGTTGCAAAGGCATATACTAAGATTAAGTTGAATTTTTTTTGGCAAAGTGGCGACTGTCTGAAAAATAAAACATTTTCTAACCATTTTTTGAGTTTCTCGAATTTTTTAAAAATAGTAAAAATGGAAATTTGTAGTAGACCCAGAGAAATCGTGGACATCGTATTGAAAAAGACAGTTTTGAGAAAACCGCAAAAGGTAGGAAACAGAAGAGGATTACCATGGTCAAATAGCTGTATCTCCGAAAATAATTAAAAATTTTTAAAAATTGTCTAGTACAAATATTATTGAATTGTTAACCTTTGAAAACATAAAAAACGATTTTTTGGAATTTATACACTAGAATACTCCCTTAATAGCTACCATTAACCATCAATTTACCATCACAAATGAATAATTATTTAATTGAATTTTAACACAAAAAATATTTATAACAAACGTATTGAAATATTTAGAATTAATTGCTAGAGTTTTATAAACAAAATATTTTTAGTAACTTATAATGCTTACTTTTGAGAAACAAAACTAGAAACGTTGGTAATTTAGATAAATACCGTGTTTAACATTTTTTTCATGTCCTTAACTGGACAGTTGTAAATCAAATAGAGAATATTAAGAAAAAACATTTTATGCAATTAATTCGTTGGAAGTCCCTACCGATTTTAATATATATGTACTTTGCAAACTAGATCCGATGTGAATTATTCTTGAATTTTCATTTTATATCATTTTGCTTATATATTAAATCATTTTATACTAACTAATAAAAAAAAATCAAAGATGGTAATATTTCCTGGGTTTTCGGTTGTATTTTATTTTTATTATAATTTTTTAATTTCAAGCAGTTTATGGGACATCTTTTTCATGAACATCGCAATAAAATAAAAACATAACCGTTAAACTTAAAATAATGAAAAATTACTATTTTCTGTTATCAAATGCTCAATTGATATATGATTATATTATATGCGATTTATCAAAAGCTACAAAAATTTACATCAATAATAAGGATTACTAAATGCACATTTGTTAAATATAGCTGTAAAATTGAAAAATTAAACAGTAGCATAACATTTCAAAATAATTTCGTGATACGAGAAATTTTAGAATCCTAAAAATTTGCCAGTAACTTTCGCTTAATAAACCTCACACGAATTCTTTAGTAAAAAAATATAGGGATCAAATATTATATTTTATTTGTAAACCCTACAAAACAAAATCATTATTCTATTCTGAGTCATGTCACGATAAACAATGCAGCAAATACCTCGATCTTAGTTTAATTATGAACGTCATAAGATACAAAGATTCATTATTCCCACGCGAGCTTTAATCAATTTGCGATGCATACTCGTATGCATATTAAGAAAAAAGATTCTTCACGCTTTCATTGAAATTCACTAATTATATCGGAATAGAAACACTATCGCTCTCACATCTCACATGATCTATTCAACGCTAATTATTATTGCTCATTATCGAAATCCCAGCAGATTATAATAATAGAAGACCATGAACTGATCGGAGAAATTAATAACAGTTGAGAAATTATTCACGAAGGAATTTTTTTTAAATGATGTGAATTATAAATAAATAAATACTTATGGTCATATTGTTAAAGCAAATTTTGAAATCACTGAAATATTGTTCTTTTGTTTAATTCTAGGGACACAGAGTATTAGATACACTATTATAGCACAATATATGTATAAAAACTAGATGTCAACTGCTTGTTTGAAAATAAAGCTTTCGCTTTTTACTAATAACTATTCAAAAAGATTTCTAATATATATCTTACAACCAAACTTATAATATGTAATTGTACTAATTATAGAGCACATTTTAGAATAAATACGGTGTATGTTTCAAAAGCGCGTGCCATTATTCCAAACTCTAATGAATTTATAAAATTTATAAATAATGAGGGCCATAATGTTTTACGATATTCTTTTAGACCATTTACTCTATCATCATACAAAGCTTTTAAATAAAGCATCATACAAAGCATGAATCATTTAAAGCATTTACCTTATCATCATACATATTATCAAAATCGTAAACTAGTTGTGCATGGAATTGTGCGATAAGGCAAACTGCTGAAAATTTCCATATCTTTTAAAATTTTTAAAAGCTTTAAAATTTTTTGATTATGTTGAAAAAATAGATTTTTGAAAACTTTAAAATTTTTGAAAAAAATGTTTTTTTTAATTTGATTTTTTCACATTTTGAAATTTTTGGTATTTTTTATCCAATGCGTAGCTGTTTTAGAGACGAAATGTCAAAGCACGTAAGCGCCGCGTTGCAGTCTAATTGTTAAACATTATAAATCTTGCTATGGAACTCAGAAATGTATACAAAATGTGCTTATGTCAAATGATCATTTTTGACCGCCAAATGACATTTTTTTACATTTTTTTACATTTTTTATTAGATCTTCAAAACCGCTGCACCTGCCTTCCTAAAAATTTAATCAATTCTTTATTTCATCAATACAAGTAAAATATTTTTTGAATTATTCACATCGGACGCTTGGGTCTCCCAAAAACGGTTGATAGGTCTCCAAAACGTCGGCGAAAAAATGAATCGACACTTACATACATACATACACACACACACATCCATTTTTTCTAAGGTAAGCCAAAATGTTCAGAAACTTTTGATACGTAAAGATATATAAAAATTTTCATTTTCGATTTTTTTTTTTGCGATTACTATAACTTGCGCTACGGGAAGGTAAAAATTATGAAGGAAACATCCTTCCGTTCTTTACCATAAATTTAACTGCACGGTTCCCAACTGATGTCTTAAAGTGTTTTAGAATTTTCAAAATTAGACGTGGACTAAAATTTTTGTACTTTTTTGTTAATTCTAAAGAAACGCCTCTGCTGATCGTCTTGCAAAACGAATCAATACGAGCGTTTAAAGAGTTTCATCAAACCACTATTAAATTTTTGAAATTAGTGTAACTGTATCTTGAAAAAACGTCAACGAATGGTTAAAAATATGCTCTCTATTTTTCTATGCTCTAAATTTCGATCTCAAACGATTAAAAATGACTTGAAATGTCTAGAAAATAAACTAGGATAACGTATTTTTTGGCAAAAACAGAAATTTCTCCTTGCTTAGTGAACTTAGATAAATCTGGTGAGGGGGCGTTTATTAATCACGTGAGGTTTTTAGGAGGAGGGAGGTTTGGCAAAAATGACAAAATATCACGTGGGGATGAAAGCGGTATCACGTGTATTTATTTTTTACCTGAAGTTACGTCAAAAAAATTCAAAAATGTTACAATTCTTTCTCGTAACTAAAATACACGTTATATTTAGTGAGAGAGGAAGGTAATTTCGAATATCACCACGTATCACCAAGGAAGGGAAAGGGTCCAAAAATCCTTCAAAAATCGATCACGTTATTCATGGATGCCCCGCTGCATTAAATGCTAATAACTATTACATGTAAGGAAGCGCTTATTTTGCGGTCACCAAACTATGTCTATTTATATTAATAAATGAAGCTAAAGCTAGAAATTAAAATTAAAATTTTATAAACATTTTCTTTGTGTTAATGGTTTCTTGTCATTCTGCATCAATAAGTATTCGAAAACCTCACTCGTGATAGTTTAAGTTAAATGATATTGAAGCACATGCTTTAGAAAATAGAACGTAAAAATTGACTTTTACGTCAATATCTATCTATAGATATTACATCGTTCAAAATGGAACTTTGTCTATTAATAAATCATTATATGGTATGTGTCTATCAATATATATATATATATATATATATATATATATATATATATATATATATATATATATATATTAGGATTTTTGCAGTTATTATAGTAAAACGATGTTTATTATTATAACTTTAAAATAATACTTGCGACAGCGGACAGCTCTTAATATTAATGGGTAATACATTGAATTCATCGCTTTATTACGTGACATTATTAAACAGAACTGCAAAGTTAGTTATTATCTTCATTTGAAAACAAAGTTTGATTCATAAAATATAAATCAACAAATATATAAGTGATGTTTTTGTTTATTGGTTTCGGTACATATAATATGATTTACTGTACTCAAGAAGCGATGGATGACTTGAACAAGAAGAGCGATTGTTTAAAACAATTGGGCATCATTGTTATTGATTAAACATTTGAACAGACTATTACCTTATTCTATGAATTTGATATAAGACGTTTTGATAACGATTTCATATTATAAATTTTAAATATATATATATATATATATATATATATATATATATATATATTTATTATCTTCGAAGTAATCCAATGAATTTTGAATTATCGTCAGTTTAGAGTAGACAAAATTAAAAATGTTATTTTTTGAACGAGTTCTAATATTCTTTAACTATAATGCTAAAAAAAATCCCCAATATTATTCTGCTACATTTGTAATAATTTTTTGCTAACAAACAAACTGAAAATATAGTGTTTTAAAGAAACAATCTGTACTTGTTAAGTACGGAAAACTAACAAAAAACTCTATCACAAAAACACAAAATTGTGTTTTAGAGAAACAATCTATACTTGTTTCTATGGCTAATTAACATTTCAATTATCTCACAAGGATACAAAACTTTAGAAAATACAAGGATTGCTATTGTTTGGTTCGATGTACAATTTCTCTATTTGCTACCAAGGTGTAATTTTAATTTCTTTCGTCATGGTAATTTTGCACTTTTACTCTTTTATGGAAAACTATTTATATCTTTTTTTAAAACTTTAATAAAAATAAATCACAATTAAATAAAAATTGAGTTAATACATTATATTGTTTCAAATCATCTTGGCATACCTTAGAAAAAATGTACGTGTGTGTGTATACATGTGTGCATACAGTTTTTCGCCCACGTTTTTCACGAGAATCGGTTCGTATTGACGATCAGGGAGCAAAATATGCAAAAGTAGCACTAATTAAGGAAACGGATCATCTAATTAAAAAAAAACATTATGCTTGTGAGAGTGTGAAAATATGATTAGTTTTTGGGGGACGCTAAAAAAAATTATTTCCAATTTTTTTTTGCAATATATGAAAATTATTTGGATTTCAATTCTAATTCGGGCTAAACACATTAAAATTCCTCGACTATTTCATTACAGTACTGGAAGTTCCAGCAATTTGCCTTTAGACGCGATTCCATACACCACTAGTTACAGTTTAATTTTACAGTTACTTTGCGGTGCTTGCGTGGCGACCAAACGAGTAACAGACGATGAGGCTTCAAGAGGTTTTCTCCTGCGCCAAAAATTATCACGAGAATGGTCCCTGCTGAATAATATAACATGGAGCCAAGCAGGATCATCTCTGGCCGACGCAGTATATGGAGGATATGTCATTATCACCGCGGGACTACTTTTCGGAAGAATATTTTCCGGTAGTAGCGCTTCGAGAGCGGGCAGTGTTGCGGAAAAGTTTTTGTTAGGAATCGGCGCCGTGTTATTTATTATATTAGGTGATTAAATTAAAAACAAACTCTCGTTTTCACTGAAAGTATGAATGCATTACTTTTCTGTATTGTAATATTATAATTTAACGTAAGAAAATACTCCTAGATATTTATAATTAATGCCATAAATTATTTTCATAGTAATAATTGGTGCGTAGCAGTGTTAATCTTTTTGATTTGATTCGGTCTTTCATTAATAATGATATTAATAAATGGTACACAAATTCTTTTTAAACTTTTTTGGAAGTCAGCATCAATATTTAAATATCATACAGATTAAATTATTGCTGTTTTTCGAAAAAATGAGAAGGTTTATTAAATTTTTCAACAACTAATCAAACAATAGAAAATTGACTTCAGTTCCTAGCGAACTGCCTAAGAATCAATATTTCGTTAATTATGCGTTAAATAAATAATAATGAAAAAGTGCAACCTGAAAAATAGATCCCTAACTTTAGCGTTATTTCACCTTTTTGTGAAACTTTTAGCTTGTATTTTAGTGATAAAAACAATACGAGTGTATTTGCATTATTATACGTATGTGCCAAATTGGCAAAGCCAAAACTTTATTTAAGAGACTATGCTGTTACATTATATTTTATTATCTTTTATGGGTTTATTTATTTTTATGGTTGTAGGTTCTTTAGAATTGGCTTCGCTCGACTCAATACCAGAAAATCTTTTAGACAACGCAGCAATTTTAGGATGTTTATCATTATTAGTTGCTGCATTATTTATCGTAGACGCTGCACGGAAAAGTTCCGGACTCAAAGTATCAGGTAATAATTCTAACCAATAGTGTTTTCTTCTCTCGACTTTGTATACAGATTCAATCATTTCCACAAAATTTAAGCAAATACAAATCAGCAAAGTAAAATTGCCACATTGCAGAAAAACAAACACAAGTTTATGCAGTTTAATTTTTTTCTTGTTTCAGACAGAGCAAATGATTGATGTAATTTATAATAATAGAACAATTAGACAGATCTACAAAAAAAGTTGGCCGTGCTGGGTGTGAGACATTTTATCCAACGTATTGTTTACCCTTAACCACGGGTCTAAAGCCAAAATAAGATATATAAAAAAATATTTTCTGGTTCTTTTGTCCATAAATGATCTATGCAATGGATTTCTGCAAAGCATTTGTCATCTCTGTTAATATCGAACATATTTTCTGCAAATACTTTATTAGATTATCAAGAGGTAATGGGGAGTAAATATGTTTGCAAATTATATGGTATTATAAGAAGATACTCAGCAGAGATGAAAAAAGCGTTGCAGAACTCTGTTGCACAGGTCATATAAGAAGAAAAAAGACAGGAAGGGAAAGAAATTATAAAATTTTAACCATCATGCAGAAAAATTACTAGATTAGAGATTTTGTACTTGTTTTTTTCACTTTTCTCCGTTTTGTTTTTGCAGTTAGACCCCCAATTTTGACTTTAGATTAGTGGTAAACAGTAAAAATACATTGGAAAACAAATGTCGCACACCCACAACAGAATTTTTGTGGACCTGTGTTATTATTTGTATATTAAGTTCTATAAGCAAAGATGATCGTAAGCTTATAATCAATGATTTTTATTAAATCAATGTAATATCCGCAAGGATCACAGACAGAACCTGCGAGCGGATACGCTAGATTCGACGACGTCACGGACGGTGTGGCCCAATTTACGAAATTTGGTTCTATTAGAGATGAGTCAATGCAAGAAAAGGAGAAATCAAATTTGCAACGGGAATACCAAGAGCAACAACTAGAAACCCAACAACAGCAGCACCCATCGCAATACCAGCCCCACATGGTTGCTGTTCTGCCGAGAGAACCAGCCCCGCAAAGGTCAGAACTCTAAAAGAGTTCATCATTTCTTTTATGACTATTCTTACTTTTTATCCAATATTTTTCTTTTATTTTCGAATAATTATAAATCAAAACAAACTTGCTGCGATGGTAACTGAAACTGGTATATTGAAAGATCACTTTATCAATTCATTAATGACCATTATCTGAACAATATAACATATGAATAAAAACAGCAATCTATGGAATATTTTCTATCTGATTTGTAATCTATCTATTAATTTTCTAATTTATTACTTTTGATTTTCTTTTATTTAAATAGGTTAGAACAAGTAACCAGCGTCATTTTACCAACTAAACAGAGCCCGGTGTTCTCTCGAGTGACTTCTGGAGACAGGGCTGTAATCACCAGGCAGGGTGATTGTCATGAATCAGAAATAACTCCAACCAGCCCCGGATTTGTCCAACAAGCTGCTAGACAATGGGAACGAGCGGCAAAGACCAAAAGCAAAATGCCAGGAACAATCACGCAATGCTGATAAAAACTTCGAGAAAAAATCCAGTCTCATACTTATCGAATCCAAAGACTATTAAGGGTATATCGTCAATGAAGATTGAAGCAAATATAGTAAGAAACAATAATTATAGTGAGCTCTCTAGATAAAAATGTTTCTTAATAATTCTTTTTTAATAATTTATATAAATCTAATAAAACGTAACAAAGAATCTAGATTTAAATGATGTTTTATATTATGAAGAAGTGAATAAGATAAAATTGTACATTTTTGAGTATTTAGATATTTAGAAAAAAATAATAAAAATAGAAAAAAAATAATTGTAATGTAATACGTATGAATTCGCCAGTTCATGGAGTTTTTTGACAATGTAAATAATATACATTTCAAAATCGATAATTTGATATGATAGATCGTACTTGGCGACTCGAACCATATTCATATAATATACGATCCTAGAAACTTCGCTAAACAAGCACCTCTCATAACAAGTCATTCTCAGAATATGCAAAAAGGTTTCTTAGCACTTTATATACGTGCATTATATACAATTTGTATAATATTTTTATTGTACTTATTATTACTTATCACCAAAAAATTAACCCTATTAATTATTAACCGTCTAAAATACTTATATTAAAATAATAACTGAGTTGGCCCAATCAATCTGTACAAATATCAATAAACAAAGCCAATATTAATTTTAGACAATATTGTGGATATTAACGCAATATCGTAAAAATTATAGTAAAAAATAGAATAAAAATGGCGATTAATTACTTAGTTCATTATTAGTGCACAATTGGTTTTCTAAAATAACGAATATTGATTTTGAAATTTAATATTGTTTAATTAAATTTGTAAGTCATAAGTTAACTATTTTTTATAAAAGGTATTGCGCTTTCTGTAGTATTTAGCTATTTGACAAAAGAGTACTTAATAAAATGTATAAATAATATACTATCAGAAAATTATTTATGAAGTTCAGAAAATTATGAAAACTATTAATAATGTTAACGAATATATGCAAATATGTCCATTACACAATTGCAACATATTTATCAGTCTATATATAGTATATCCATATAAGAGGAATCTTGTTAAGAAGTCATTTAACTAAATTTATTAATATAATATATAAAAAAATAATATATTACTAAACATGAATAAATGCGAATTATTATTTTGGAAAATCAATTCCATTTGAATAATCTAAATTTTCAGCTTGTTGGTGATATGCGCCACCATTGCTGCATCAGGTAATGATAGATGAGGATTTCGAAACTCCCATCGCTTCGAAATATGACTCCAAGCTCTTTCTCGCGTTAAGCCAAGTGGTGTGTCGAGCAAAACCGACCAGTCCGGCTGCCAACTTCCCATCAGCATCTTTATTATTACATAATAAACTTTACAAACTTGAATTGGAAGTTCAATTAGAACTTTATGATAAAATTCGTTTGACAAATAATTTTACCATTCGCCAAAAAAAGAAATAGTTAAAAAAATAATTAAACAATAACAGCAAAAATATTCAGTACTAGGCAACAATTTGTATTGCAACTAAGCAATACAAATTTACGAACCGTGATAAGATACTACTTGCAAGTAGTATCAGTAGTAAATCTAAATAGAGAAGCCAAACAATAAGATGCGTTTTCCTTCACCAAAAAAACCTGTGAACATTATAGCCAAGTAACCCCTAAGTCGACCTCTAGAACGCCATGATCGACGCTAATCAACTACTTTTCAATAATATACGATTATAGAATAATACCTATGCAAGTTGTGCTTTAAGTTAAATAAGAGAGTATTGATTATGCAGGGTGAGGGCTATTTATTTTCGCAGTTGTGCTAATTTAACAATTTTTATAAAAACATATTTTCATAAAAACTAGTCCATCTACAGGGCAACAAAATAATAAGATGGCAGAACTTATTAATTACGGAAGAATAAAAACACAGAAGCATTTAAAAAATAGAGATTTACCTGATCGAAGGGTCTGTGGCGAATATAAAACATGGTTTCCAGAAGTTTAGTTCTTGGAGGAGTCGTCAACTGCCCAGGAAAATTTTCAAAATCGTTAACAGGAACTTCACTAACCCCTAACTTCTGCAGTATCCAAACGGAATTACAAGTTACATAATCGTGCAAAATCTGACAAAGAAATAAAAATTTGTTAAACAATTAATGTACAGAACTAAATAGTTAAAAATATTGGATCTATATAAAATAATTTTTCATACCATCAACTATGAACTTGGTAAATAATTTTAATACTATGCTTAAATTACCTTAACACACTTTTTCCCATAAAATGTCATGAGTACATCGCTGACAGACATTTCTGGAGCATAATTTGTATATTCTATACCCAAATCCTTGCAAGCTTGATTGATTGCCGAATTGGCACTTTTATTCTCTTCATCCTCAATCTGAAAATTAAAATTTTTATGATAATTACTTAAACTGAATATAACATATTTTAATATCTTTGAAACCTATTTATACAATATAATATATTGCTTCAGTTAAGCACTTACATTTAATGTGGTACCAAAACTCAACATAAAATTATCCATTTGTGCAATATCTCCGTCCAAGTTTCCAACCATGTCCTCCACACCAGCGTCCTGAACACGAGATACAAATTCTGCCATTTGCTGAGCATGTTTATCGTCTTCATAGATATAACATAATGCCTCTGCCAATTGATCACGGATATTTAGAAGAATTTTACCATCTATTGGAACTTGTCCAGGAATCATAAGTTGTTTTTCAGACGAATTTATCAATTCCGTGTATAAGGCAGACAATAACAACTGAAGAAATATTGATTGTCCCATAGGATGTATGTTGGCTGGTAAGAGTTCCGTTAAAAAGTTTGATATTGTTAGTACTGAAGATGGTAAGCAAATCAGCAACTCCGTGAAATAGGTTAAAGCTTGTGACATAGCCTGTATATGTGTGCATAGTTATTATTTATTTTTATTGGTTAATATTAATTTTAAATATTAGTTAATATTGGTTAAAATTAATAGCAACTGATTAATTAGTTGTAATTTACAACTATATACATTAAGAAATAAAAATAAAGTGTTACATTCGAGTAACAGAATCATGACAAAACTTCGAGAAAGTAATCGTATTGTGAACAAAATATGTATTTTTAAGTCCGAATAGAAATCACTAAGCTTTCAGCATAAATTTAGTAGTAGGTCTAAATTTTGAAATAGGAAATTGCAAAAATAAGTAACTTGAGAAATACTGTTATAGATTTAGGAACATGCATAATTGCTTAACTATTTATATAACATACTTGATACATACTGGACCCATTATGTACATAAGCACACAATGATTGAACGATTGGCTGTATTATAGGATATATTAAATTCAATGTTGCCTCCAGCCACGGTGGCCTTCTTTGATTCCACATCTAAAAAAAAATCATTGGTTGTAGACCCCTTTGTCTATTAATACAAATGATTTTTTTCGAATTATAGATTTGTTACTTGAGTTTTATCCAAACAGTCCGCCCATGTTTTATCCCTGCATTTGTCCAGCGCTGATACAATGGTGTGTTGAAGATCGCAAGGTCTGCCAGTTATCAAGAGTACATAAATGAGACTGGCTACGACGGCACAATTATTTGCTCCTATAGGATCTTGAATGCCTGATCTACATTATAATAATAAAAAAATGAAATATATATGTTTAGTTTGTTTATTGTTTAATAAATTATTTGAATTATGAAATAACTCTAGCAATCCATACAAGTTCAGTTAGAAACCATTATATTAAACCAATATTAGAAAATGTTTTAATAAATTTAATCATAAAGTCGCTTCAAATATTATTCAAATAACTAAACCAAGATTATTTAGAGTTAAATTATTTTATGCATGACAAATATAAGCGTGTGCAGATTTTTGATCTATAAAATTTTTGAACATTAAAAAGTTTATTGTAAGTAATTTTATTTTCCTGATCATCAGTTTTGAGCGCTGAACCATATCAAACATCAAATTTCGTTTCAAAAGTATACCGGATCTACTAAATCTAAACCATAACCAAAACTACGTTGAAAACTAACTCTGGTAAGTATAATCGGTGAATATGATCCATAGTACGGAACCAAATTGAACGGATGTAAAAAATATAACGGATATTTTTGTTTTTTTTTCTGAACATTTATTGAATGTTTCAAACATCGCGGTACCCCAAAATCGTAAAAAAGATGTGTATTATGCGTGTGCTCTATATTTTACCTTTATAAAAAAATATTTTTCTTGTTGGCATATCGTTAAATAAGTAGAATAAAAGCGTATGCTCTAATTAATTATTCATTCCTAACAAAATGATCAGTAATTTAAGAATCCATGTTCTCTAGTTATTAGTCCTAATAATGATCTTTGCGACGACTACTTGGCCCAATCAAAACAATCACAAATTATGATAAATAAAATAAAGAATAACAGTTAAACAATCATTCAAAAATAAAATATTTTGAACTCTTACTTTTTATTATCATCCATCGAAGGCGAGCAATCGTATGTGCAAAGAAATCCATCACAAGCTTGAGTTTTGATAACTACTTTCTTTGATGTTACCGACCCGCCGTCCATATCATCAGACATAGGTAAATAATTAATTAAATGATGTAGAATTATAGAAGATACTGCACAATCGCGCATAAGCAATAACTGAAATTTAAATTAAATATTTTTATCAGCATTTATATGTGAAAAAGTTTGTTTTGATAGTACAGTATCTTTCCTCTCGATTATCATAAGCCATATTATATCACGTGTATCAATTTCAAATACAGGATGAAAATAACTATTGTGATGCAAACTATATTAAACTTACTTCTACCTAATAATTTGAAAATGTATGATAAATGCCTTTGAATTTAACTTATTGTTAGTCTGTATCAGATCAGATAGAAAGTACTACTTATATGAATGATTCTCTAAACTTACTTTTAACAGCAGTGGCCAAGTAGGTTGAGGCTGCGCCAAATAGACCTTCAGTTCCAACGCAATAGCTGCTCCTGGTGTTAGATCAAGCATACGAGTTGCAAATTGATTTCCGGACTCGGCGGAGAAGAGATGTGGGTTCGTCATCACTATCCATGGACTCGAACAGCTACCTCTTGATTTAAATAACCCTATTAGATCAACATCCTTACGAAAAACCTGAAACATAAATAATTTTAATTTGTCGCTTAAATTTTTAATACTGTAGTGAAGAATTGTTTAAAAAGCTTGCAAAATAATTAATCAACCCTGTACAAAGTAGAAAGTGGAGCGCCCCTCAAAACCAATCCGGCCATAAGTTCCTGGCATTTGGCGTGTATGTCTCGAACCGCTTTATCTTCCGCTGCCAAATTGATGCCGCTGTATGCTTCGCCGCTTTCGCAGACAGCGGGCAGTAGTTCCCCGCAGCAAAGCAGCAAATTTCCTAAATCGACTCTTAGCAAGTCAGCACGAGCTCTGCTGGGGCACGTCTGGAATTTTTATTATTCAGTAATATCATTAACTTTAGATATGGAACGATTTAAATACAACAATCTAGTTCCTAAGTAACTATAATTTATGAAATAATTATGACTATCTTATTAAACTTAATGACAATCAACGTAATGGCAAATAAAACATTACACATATTAAACACAACAGCAAAAATATCAATAAATAAATAATATAAATTAGCCATTCATCTCCTTATTCGTGAGCATGGTTTACTGAAACCAGTGGTGTTGTGCTAATATTTTTTTGCCGGAACGCTAAAATTGAAAAACCGGTTTCCATGTTTGTTCCGGTTCCGTTCGAAAAGGAAAAAAAGAAAAATTATTACAAAATTCATTTTGTGCACATATATGTATGTTTATTACAATAATAGGAATGTTTAATAAAAATTAGTTAAATTATGGTTTATAAAATTCACTTATTAAATCACTTTCTGTATGTAGCAATTCTTTTTAATTTTTTTTTTTGCCGGAACGCGTTCCGGTTCAAAAATGATTTTCCGGAACGACGTCTGGCGCGTTCCGGCTCGACAACACCACTGTCTGAAACTATTATTTTATATAAAAAATAACTTACTTGGGTATATCTAACAGTAAGTATAGATAGAGTTTCATTTAACATTCCTTGAAATACTCTTTGAGCCATTAGTGGAGGCACCGTTGTCCACAAATCCTGCTGCGTACCTATAAATAAAATAATTCATTAGATACACTTACTTAGTTATCAAATCATGTATATTGAAAGAATAAACGAAGACTTATTTTCATATATAATGATATGTGCGCAATAAATTTATACCATAAAAGAAACTGTATTCTTTAGTTTAAATTAATAAACAAAATCGCTTTATATACGCGTTCGCGAACATTTCGATTTTTTTGCCGGATCGTGAAATACCTCCGTTATCATCTTGCAAGCAAAAATACAATTTCTTATTGATTCTAAAATACTAGTATCACCTTTCATGTATAGCCACCACATTTGTATTATGTATGAACCGCGTTCAGATTCAAAAAACGGCTGTGGATTCTCCCAGTCAAGACAATCAGCATCTTGTAAGATATACAGTGAAAGCAGCCTACAGTGTAAATCTAGTAGTCGTTCAGCTAAAGCTTCTGCCATTTCTGAATATTGTTTATGGGAAACTTTTAGAGAACCCGATTTTTCACCTGGCGGTCCACGACACTTGGTTTGTGTGACACGCTGTAGATAACAAAATAGACAATTTCTTATAAGCGCGGCGGCACCAATTGTGGCGGTAAGTACTGCCAAATCGGCGTGATCCAAAGCTTCTTGTGATAACGTGTGTAAATGCTCTGAAAATGATTTTTAATACAGCGTTACATTTTTTTCATGATTCTGAATTATTTTACTGACGGTGAGATAACGAAGCGGTATGCACGAAAAATTTACTTTATATTTAAAACTCCAATTAAATAAGAATAGCAATCGTGATAAGTTTTTAAAATAATTTATCTGCTAACCTAGTAATTGGTCGGCCGATTTTGTGATCATACTAACAAATTTTCCAGGATCAGATGCTCTTATAATGCCACCGCATCCACCAACATACTCAGGAACTTCTGTAGTTCCTGACTCACCTAAAGGCCCTGCTGCATCGGCCACAACACCTTTTCAAGACATCGTTAATAAGATATATAAAAACGAAAAATGTATATATATATATATATATATATATATATATATATATATATATAATCTTAGGTAAAGATTAGTAGTCAATAAATTAAAAACTATATTATCACAAATTTCTTTGGATTTGATTTGATGTTAAAAAAGTGATACAAGTAAACATATATCCGCATGTACATCGGTAATGTACTTCTCATTTGTTCTCGGCTTACTTTATTACTACATAAAGAACATAAAGTATAATAAATAAATTTTATAAACAATCCTCACTGATTATTGCGTTATCAACATGGGATACATTCATTTTAATTTTTTATCAATTGAAAACTCCGGTTTTGAACTCCGCCAATTCAGGCATATTTAAATGTCCAATTCAGGCGAAGAAAATAAAAAATGTGAAAAGGCAAATTTTCAAATAGTAACAACAAAAAACTTGAATCTTTTGCTTTACAACTTCTAGTAAAGTGAACAAAAATTTCTCGCAACAAATAAATTATATTCTTAAATATATTTGAACATTTGCATATTTTTATCATCATAGAAATTATCATAATGCGGAACTCGAAAATTAATAGGAATTAGTAAACGACATTGCATCGTTCAAAAATCAGTAACTTCTCCGCACAAGATCACCGAAACTTCAAGTAACCAAACACAAGCATACTACTTCTATTTAAATAACACCCTACAGTAATATAATGAAAAAATACTGTAACATTTTATATTACCTAATAACTGATCTGCAGATTTTGCAATCATGCTAACAATTGTTTCATGATCGGATGCTCTTATAATGTTATCGTTTGCACCCTCGTTCTCGGATTCATCTGTACTCCCAGATTTAAGTTCTAAATCTTCTAAAGGTGCTGTGGCATCTGCTACACCTCCTTTTAAAAATATTACAGTATTTTATAGATAACACATTTAGACCAAATTTTTTTTAATAGGCGTATAGTGTCCATAGTTTGTCAAATATACCATCAGTTAAATATTACGATGCAATACTTTATGATTTAGTAAGACAATAAAACTAAGTTAATTAATAGAAAGTAGTCAATAATGGTAATGCATATCAGTATATCAGAATAAAATAAACTTTCGTTGTTCACTTAATTTGAGAAACTAGTTGTAAGTGGCATTTCGCGTTGTGGCAAATTGCATGAACTACCTGTTGAGTGTTAATATTTCATGTAATCAATATTATTTTTTTTATTTATATATGCGCTACCTGTCTGCTAAAACTACAAAATTCTTAATTTAAAATTTGTATATTAATGCTTCAAAACCATTCATATTCTTTATTAATTGCTTATGTTGATTATATCTTCGATACTTGTTATTGATAAATTACCTTCAAGCAATCCAGAACCTCTTCTGTAAGCAGCTATATATTCTTCTTCCCACCACGTAACGATTTTGACTGAAGCGAAAGAAGCAGATCGTGGAAAATCTAATCGACCACCTACGACTCCGGGACAAATGGTTTCTGATAACACAGTTTGTTTTTGCTATATTTAGACAAAAATAAACTTGCAGTTTGAAAAAAAAATTGTCAATGTACACTATATTATTTGTTCATTGCAGATTAACAAAGGTGAGTGTAAAAATGTAAGTACAATAAGAAAAAAAATCAAAATTGATCAAAGAGAAAATGCAAAATAATGTTATCAGAAATATATAAAAAAAATAAATAGTAGAAAATATATAGTAGAAATAAATGAGAAAAATACACATGCATCAAATAAAACATTTTTATTTTTATAAAATACAGATTATAAAATTGAAGCAAAATCATATCATATAAAATTGTATAATTATACTATACATAACTTTAATATCATTACAATATCTTATTAAAAATATGGCAATCAGTCAAATCATAACTCTCATTAATATCTATAAAACTCACTTGGTAATATTGCATATCTCTCTGCAATAAGATTGGAACTCTGTCCATGAGGTTGCCTTCTTCCATTACCTCCATGATGATATTTTATTAAAATGATATTGTAAAATTTGAAAGACCTAATATTCTAAATGATTATTTATATGTTTCCCTATTTAGATCAGTCTATCTGCTTCCATGAGCTAAATTCATAAAGTCCACTTTAGATTTTACTATAAGTTCAATTTCTTTTTGTAATAATTCATGCATTGACATTCCATCATGTTTGTATAGCCAATAACCAGAACCATCTGCTATAAAATCATAACGTTTTGGCCCAGAAGTAGGGGAACTCAGCCAAATTTGTTGATTTGGTGATTGACGATTAATTACATAGCTTCCATATGGTTCACCAAAGTTAATAGTTAACACACCATCCTAGAAAAAAATTATAACAATATAATTCAGAGAATATGAAGTCTACGGATCAAAATGAAATTTATCTTTACTTTTCTAATGCAAGTCAAAATACTTGGTACTATATGTAAAAGATTGGATATAATGGTAAAATGTAAAATACAATAAAATCTTGAAAATAAATTAGAAGTATTAACAAGATTTGAAGAATTAATGTAGATAATTGAAGCACAAAACTGGCAATATAATGTTGATTATCGTTTAGTTTTATTTGAATCGTGCTATTTTGCCTGGAGAGTAAATTTGATTTTGCGCTTGACATTGATATTTTAAAGGCACATCTACTAAAAGCATCTTATTATTTTTATTAACTAGGATGAATCACTCACAATATATTTGAAATAACTTAGAAGTAATAAGCTTCAACAAAATAAATATAAAAAAAATTAAATATGGAAGTGGCAATATGATGTGTATTGTTTATCTAGTTTTATATTATTAGGGTAAGGCAGGGCTTAAAGGCCCGAGGGTTAAAAAGCCTACCATAAAGACATTTAAAGTACATATAGTAACTATACTATTATAAAGTAGAAGACGAGAGATGTGTAATAAGCCATCACCATAATACTCACGGTGTTGCTATTAGAAGGTGAAAGGCCACATATCAATATTCATAAAAAAAGTTTTTCTTCGTTGGTAGTTTTTTTGGTTTTGAGCTCGTTTATTTGGACAATGATACCTGAATATAGTTTTCAAGTATACGTTATTTGTTTAATAAGATGTATTATTATTTTAAGTTAGATTCAACAGTTTTTTTTTTCATATAATCTATATAAAAACTTACATGTGTGTGGGGTAAAAAAGACCAACTAAACCCTTACCCTGGCAAAGTTATAACAATAAGAAAAAAGTGAATTAGGTTGAAAAAATTATTTTGCAAGAGATAAGATAAATCAAATTAATAGTTATTCTAAATTTGCTGATGAATATTTCTGATAAAGTACCAGACCAAGGTGACCATAAAAAATGTGACCATATAATTTGTATCATGCATTGGTTAAATAATATAGCAATTATTTCGTAAAATCTCTTTAAAATTAAAAATTGGATATGTTTGCCCCTGGGTGTCCCTTTTTAAACCATAGGCGAGGCAAGATGAATTTTAGAAAAATAGTAAAGAAAGCGCTACTAGTATTAAATTTCTATAATCGTTTGATACATGTTATTTGTGGTGATGTAGTTCATTTAGTTTAGACAGTATAATTACTGAAAGTCAAGTTGAACCTTTGTAGCATACCTTACCATGCTAATTTACTTTATGAGCACATTTGCGTTTGCACTTAATAATATTTTAAATGTTGAGCTATTGGAAGCATTTTATTTGTTAAACTAAGATGAAACACTTAGTAAATTAATACAGATTATAATATGACGAAACATTATTATTAAAAAAGTAATGGTAACATGTAAAACTAATCAAAATCATGAAAATAAATTAGTGGTAGTAAGAATTAGTTTATCGTTTATCTTAACTTTTATTTGAATATCATGTTATTTTACTTTAAGTGCATTAAGTACATTTGGTTTAGACAGTATAACTATTGAAAGTAGAATGAACATTTGTGCCCCGCCCTGCCCTACCATGTTAATTTATTTTACGAGCATATATGCTTTTGCTTAATATTTTTATTTCAAAGGTTGATTTACTGAAAGCATTTTATTTGTTAAACTAGGATGAAATATTTTCAGTAAATTAATATAGATATAATATGAGCAAACACTATTTTGAAAAAAGTAATAGTCACATGTAAAACTAATCGAAATCATAAAAACTAATTAGAAGTAGTAAGAATTAGTTTATCGTTTATCTTAACTTTAATTTGAATATCATGCTAGTTTACTTTAAGTGCAT